CCATGCCCTAGTCCACCGGACAGTGCTTTGGTGTATCCCAAAACTCCCCAGTTTCTCCACCAGGATATCACGGGGCACTTTGTCAAAGGCCTTGCTGAAATCCAGGTAAACCACATCCACTGCATCCCCTCCATCCAGCCACCTCGAAACCTTGTCATAGAATTCCACAAGGTTTGTCTGGCAGGACCTGTTTTTGTGAAAGCCGTGTTGTGTGGCTGTCAGCCTCCCTTCCCTATCTAGCATCACTAGATCTCTCTCTATTATGAGCCTTTCCATTGTTCTTCCTCCAATGGCCATAAGGCTAAGAGGTCTGTATGCTTTTCAGTGCCAAGTCAAGACCTTTTTATTTTTCCATAATTTTAATGTTCAATATTTTAACTATGTTTTATGCTCAGTCATGGATTATATTGTATTATTTGGATATATATGTATTTATTGGATTTTGACTTGTAAGCCATCCAGGGACCCGCAAAGTATTGGATGGGGTAAGATATCCAAATAAATAATAAAATAAAACAAAGCCCAGGCATGTCCACACCGCACATCAGTGTCCCCCACCCTGTAAGTCTGGGAACTTGCCCCCCCCCCCAGTAGGAATGACCGCCACACCCACCTGCTCGTTATCCTTCATCGTCTCTCCCTCTGGAAGGGCAGCGAGGGAGACCTCGTCCCACCTCCGCTTGATGGCTCGGTAGAGGAACTCCTCCACCTCTCTCTCGGGGAGGATGTTTGGGTCCCAGAGCAACTGGTCGTCGTTTTCGTAAACTGGAAAAGAAAGCACCCGGGGGCTAGTCTGAGGGGGCAGCCTGGAGCAACATGGTGCATTCCTGCAGAACGGGGGTCTGGGGGGCTGGAGCGCAGGGGCCAAACCAGTTGGCACGAAGGTTTGCGTGCCGGTGCTGCTTTTTTGACTGTGGGAAGGCAGGCTGAGTTGGCCCAGCCTGGCTTGAGATAAGGCGGAAGTGGGAGAGCAGCCCGGACTTTTCCAGCCAGCTTCGGTAGCTGAAGGAACTGCACACACAAAGGAGGATTAGGATTAGGATTAGGATTAGGATTAAGATTGGTAAGGCCTCCTACCTTTCTCGCCATGTCGGTTCAAGTGGAGGAGAGGGACTGTGGCCTGGTACTGAGGCCCAACCATGATCTCCTACATATAAATATTTAAGATAAAATAAAACAGCAAAGGGGAGAGAGGGGGGATAACAGGACAGGATCTGATTATTCAGATTCTATTGAGAAAAGATGGCTTTTCAGAACCCCTCCGCAGGGAATTTGCACTGCAGTCTGCCACAAGCCACGTACGTTGGGCTTTACCTGCCCTTGCCGGGAGTTGCAGCCAGACCCCAGGCCGGACTACAGGCTGTCGTTCCACAGGTGGGGCGGGGGGATGCAAACGATTCCCGCTTGCCCAGCCTTCAGCCAGCCACAATTTAAGCTCAGCCTTTGCCCTCCACTTGTAACAGGAAGACAGTCACGCTAGGTGAGGATGCCGAAGGCGTACCTTCTTGCAATCGTTCGGCAGAATGGAGTCTTCCTCAGAGTCCTCGGCCGAGAAGGACGCACACGGGGAGCAGGATGGGCCCTTGTCCTCATCAGCAAGGAAGTTGGCTTTGGGAAAGATAAAACGGCACTTTGTACTCTTTCTTTCACATGATCTCTTAAATCGGTTTTGCCAACAATGACAGCAGATCAACCGCAGGAAGAGAGAAGCTTTGTCATCCAGGGGCCAGCATCAATTTAGTGCAGTATTATTTAAAACTTTTGCTTTTCAACTAACTAACTAACTACCTACCTACCTAACGGGAACTCGCCTTTCCACAGACCACTTGAAAAGAGGATCTGGATGAATTCTCGACTAATTCACTGACCTCTTTTCCACTTTCTCCACATCCTGTGTAGTTTTATGCACACCTGATACTTGTGCTTCCAGGGTAGGGGAAGAAAGACCGTAAGATTCAACCAACAAACCCATGGAAGAAAAGTTTTTTTCAGTGGTACTCGACAAGTTCAGAGGCAGTAAATCAATGGTACATCAGAAGCTAACTTATTCATGTCCAGACTACATCTCCATCTCTAGGCCAATATTATTTCTGCTGCTACAGAGAAATCTACAGAAAATCAAACAGTGGAGAAAATCCAATAATATAACAACTGGGACATAAAACGGTCTGTTTTCTGAATTAAGCATGCTGCTGCATCTCAAATACTTAAGAATTATACAACATTTTCGAAATTCCAGTTTTTCCATAGGACGGTTAGGCTGCTCCAACCTTGCTCACCCCCTTTCCTCCATCCATGGCGGCAAAAAAGATGAGTAAGTTATTGTGTCTCAAACTTTTCTAGATGGAATGCTCAAAACAAGAACATTCCTTGCATTTCCATTTTTAGCCATTTCTGCTTATGCTGTTACTATTGAGGGCTTGGCATCTTTCTGCTTGCAGAAAACGGTTCACACTGCACAGCTGCCGATTCCTAGGGATGCCCCCCCCCCCCACCCCCAGTGAAACCTCTCCCCTCCATTCCTGAAAAGCTTGAAAACTGGGGAACTGGAATGCTGGCTGGGAGCTGCTTGGAGCTGCAAGACTTTTCTATAGCACTTGTTAGTTCTTACGGCTTCCATCCCAAACATACTTGGTAGACGGACAGTTCTCCTAATCTCGAATGGAATTTACTTCTCTGCATCAGAGTGCTTTCCATTAAAGGATATTGCTCCTAATGCCAAGGGATCTCAATTCCCATCAGCCCCAACCAGCATGCATATGGAGCGGGATGATGGAGGGTGCTTTCCTACCACCTCTGGAGGTCCACAGGCCTGCCTCTCTGAACTAAAGGGACACAAGAAGACTGCAATTTTCTGTGAGCTTCTCTGTGCTGGATGAGGGGGGACTCATTTCTATATCAATGTACCAACTGGTGATTTGGGCTCTGCTCACCCCGGAAGGCAGCCTGTGGGAACGTCCTGGAACCTGAATTTCTGGGGCATTCCCTCCACAGCCCCTGCCCATAACAACCTCAACTGGTGTAGCTGGAGAAATGGAACATGTGATTCTCTTAAAATGCTAGACTTCTCACACAGGTGGGTTCCTGGCTCCAATTTCCAGGCAGATTTTATAAACACCCACCATGCCCTGGTTTGCACATAATACTAAGCCGCATTAAATTCTGGGTTGTGGTGACAACCAGTAAGTTGGGATTTAACCTGAAACAACCCGGAAGGAAAACCTAGAGTTTGCTGTTGGGTTATGGACTCTGTTTAACTCGTGGGTTGTCATTACATGCGAACTCAGAACTGTAGGTTGTTTTGCCAAGCTGCAAAACCCAGGTTGCTCTGTATGCCATGCTGCACAGGCACTTGGCATACAGGCGGAAGGAAACAAACCACCCAGGAATTGAGAAAGTGAACTACGGTTTCTTGCCTGACAAACTTTGTTCTGACAACAAGCCATGGGTTATGCAATGCATGCTCCAGGCTAAAGGTTTCCCTTTCTCCTCTCGAGGTGAGCAAGACTCCCAGACAACTCACAATGGCTCTGGTTAGGGAAAAGGTCTGATGCATCATGGGAAATGACCGAAGGAGTCAGATCATCCGCTGAAGATTGCGTCTCTTCCTCCTCTTCCCCAGAAAGTAGATCCTTTGCTATTTGCTCCTTGAACCAACAACCAGAAAGAAAGGAGGAGAAAAATGCTTTAAAGATGGTCTGTAATGTATGAATTTCGTTCTTCAGCGTGCCAGGGTTGGGCAACCTCCTTTCTATACAGTCGCAACTTCAAACGCTTTCTTTCTTTCCTATGCTACCTGTAGCCTACGTTCTCTGGGCAGCTTCCAACGGGGACCTTGCGCATCTTGGAGCTTTTGTTTTTTAATGCCAGGTACTTTTCACAGCTTTGGTTTAGAGGAAAAATACAGGCAGGGTTGCTAAGGGGCCACGCTTCAGCAGCAACATCTGAAGCAGGGGGGCTGCAAGAAAAGTCAGGAAGGAGGTTTCACTCGCCCCTGCTGCGTGGGAACAGGAGGCTGCGTCGTTACTAACCTGGCCACCCTGGAGAGCCCAGCCCAGCGAGAGGGCGGCTGAGCGCGTTCCTACAAACACGCTGGCGACTCGGGAGCCAGGCACCCGTGTCCCAGTGGCGCTCACCTTGTCCAAGGTCATGTCTGGCAAGTTCGGCGGCGCATCACTGCTCTCGCTCTCTTGCTCAGAGATGGGGTCCGAGGCCTCATAGCCATAGAAGGCCAGCAGCTCTTCAAAAGGCATTTCACTGCTCTGAATGAGAGGAGAAAGCAAGGGGCGGAATCAGCCAGGGAGGCTTCCCCAGAGGGATGCTACTCTCGGCAGGCCCCGGAGCGCAGTCTGCCCCCATAACTCCACGCAGGTCATTACTTGGGGTCTCTGCAAGATGCAGTGCCTTCGGGATGCCTGCCCGACGTTTAATGTTACCACAGTTCTGTTTTTCAACTGGCATGCTACAAAGGGCATCTCAGTGTTTCATTGCCGGGCTTCGTCTCCGCCCCATAGTTAAATTCTCATCATGAGAACTAGAAACTCCCTTGGTATTTGGGAGGAGGAACATGGCTCACCGGACTGCCCTTGTGGCATGCAGATGTCTCCTCCGGCATCTCCAGGGGGAAAGGTCACGGAGCAGTTCTGCTTTGGAACCTGCAGAACTGTTGAGAGTCAGAGCAGGTAATACTGGACTAAATGGGGAAACAGTCCAACTTGATTCAAGGCAGTTCTCTGTGCCGTTTTGTGCTTTTGTACACAACCCTTCTGCCAACCATACTAAGTGGGATTTGCTTCCACAAGAGCGAGAAGCATCTTTTCACTGGAGAAGCGGAAGCCAAGATTCTCTGCAAGCTCATGATGCCCCAGCAAATGGCAGAGTCTGAGCACGCAGCCCTCCCGATTCCTTACCTGGGAGGCATTGAAACTCTTCTCTAGCTCTCTGAAAGGCGTTGCTTTCCCCGGAGCGTTGTCCTGCTCCTCTTCCTCCGCCTCTTCCCGCACCCTGTAGTTTTGGGACAGGATCTCAGCCAGGTTGAAACGATGATTAGCTGAGCTCACAGACAGCACTGTGAGGATCGGCAAAGCCAGAAAAAGACAAGGTCCATCAGCCAGGTTTGTTCCCAAGAAGGTTTGAACACCAGCAAACTCGCTACCAGGGGAGGGGCGACCTGCTCACTGGATATTTATGTATTGTCTTTTTTTGCAAAACAGCCCCCACAAGATAGCATACAAGGAATTCGAGGCGAAACTGCATCCGCAAGTTAAAAACCAGTTAAAAGGTGTGGCGACAAATCAGAACGCGGCTGTTCGTTAAATGCGGACTGTCTAACAACGTCTTTTGGAGGTTGATGCCGAGGGAGCGAATTCCACAGACATGGGGCCCACTACCAAGAAGGCCGTTTTACCGTTCTCTGACCATCAACTCTTTAATAGCAAGCAGCCCTTTAGAGAACCTGGTCAGAAACTATTTCATCTTTATGTGACAAGATCAGCACATCAATTCGCTGGAAACAAGCCGGTGGCTGGCAGAGCTGGTCCAGCAAGGATGGGCTACTGATAGCCCTCCAGATGCTTTGGTCTGCATCTGCCCTCACCACTGGCCATGCTGGCAAAGGCTGATGGAAGCTGGAGGTTCTGCCAGTGTGCCCAGCATGGTGCAGGTCTGGTGCAAGGAATCGTGGTACCTATTCCTGTCTGGGTTTGCCAGCTCCATTCCTGGCAGGTACCGTGCGATGTAAAAGGAGGCGTCCTATAGTAGCGGGCGGTAAGCAAGACGGAGAAGCAAGTACGTCTGACGACTCTGTACCTGCTGTGGTATGAAGGCTGGGTCTCCCCGGACATAAGTTACGCACAGGGTAGGGCACGATCCTTGGCCTTTGCCTCCCAATCGAGGCCTTAAAGAAGAAAGAGAAACCGCACTCTTACAACACATTTACTAGTGGGTGGACCTGGTGTGGCACAGGATGGAAAGAGCCCTTTTTGGAAAGTTGTGCCACCTAGAACACGGGGCCCCACGCACCCCAGTCTAACAGAAGCATGTTTGCCCAGAGCCCTCAGTACAGAACCATACAGCCCCGCAAGGGAGGGCCACCTGCTCCGCTTCCCCCAGGAGCGCTACCCCACAGCAGAGGGAAGGCTGGGCAGGTAAGTTCCTAGGTTCCCGCCCAGCTTCACACTGTCTTGACTGCAAAGCCACAGTGTGAGACCCGCTGGTTGTTAAATAAAAAACTGGATATGGCAGGCACAAACCGCGCAACCCCATTTCAAGGAATAATTGTTTATCAGATATATATCCTGCCTTTTTATTTCTTTAAAGATCTCAGCGTGGCGTACATCATTCCCCTCCTCTGGTTCTTGATCTTATCCCCTCAACAACAACCCTGTGAGGTAGGCTGGGCTGTCGCTGAATGGTCCAAAGTCGCCCAGCTGGCTACACACCCACGCAGGGACCAGAACCCGAGTCGCTTGAGCCTCAGTCCTGCACACTTCATCACTAGCCCGCACTGGCTCTGTTTGGTTATTATAAATTCCTCAAGTGTACAGCCTTGCCTTAGAAGTGGCTTCTATAACTTTAGCCTCCAAATGTACGATGGGGGCTAAAGCATCGCGGCACAGATGGAGGGATGGCTGGAAATCAAACTGCACGGAGACTGATAGACAGAGCTGGGCAGGATTAATCCTAAAAAGAGAAGGATACGGAGAAATATGAGAGTGCCTCTTGCAATAGCGGTGAAGCTGCCGTGCGAAAGAAGGCACGGGGCTACTTCCAGTGACTCCAGAGGGCAGGGCTGCAATGGTCGGGAGGAAGCTGCAGGGAAGCAGATTCCGGCTAGCCGGGATGAGAGAGCACTTACTGGTAAGAGCTCCTTGGTGGAGTCAGCTCCTTTGGGAAGCGGGGGCCTGCTTTCCCGTGCGGGGGCAGATGCCCATCTCTCTGGCATGCAGTAGCCGGCCATGACCCATAAGCAGGACAGGAAGCTCCCCCAGAGGTGAATCAGAGCCTGAGTCCAGCCGGCCCAGGACTGCCAAGCGTTCTCCCTGCCCTGCTGGGGGATGCTGGAGAGCAAACTGGGGAGGCGCTCCGAATGCCAGGCAGGCGGTCTTCTCCTGAGTAGGGGTTTGCACCAGATGACTTTCGACTCTGATTGGCTAGGAAAGAGTGGGGCTGAGGGCTGGGCACCAGAAGATTCCTGATCCCCAACTAAACTTTTCTAAGAAATCACCAAAGTAATCTGGGCCTTCTGAGAACACTAGCCAGTGATTTTAAAGGTGCGACACTGACAATGGTTTTTCCGGGACACCGTGTACAAGCTGGTTTTCACAGCAATTTCCAAGACACCCACTCCTGTCCTGATCATTTCTCTTTCTCAAAACCAGAGACAGGAGCCTTCTCTTACCACAAAGACCATAAAATCAATCCAATTAGAGACCCTATTGCAAAGGAGTGGGGGGATTTTGCTCCTCCTTTCAGGCAAGATATTCTGTTCACATTTTCATTTATGAGGCTTCTTCTCCTCTTCCAAACAACCTGTTTTTGTAACTGCTTCCCACCTCCAGGAGGACTTCTGCATTCAAATCCTCATTCATACCTTTCATTTCCCTCTATTTAACTTCCTTATTAAGGGATTGTTAAGAACTCCTATTCTAAGCTAGTCACCGCATCAATTTTTCTTCTCCCTTAGCTATTAAACGCATGTGCCCTTCTACGTTTTGCAACTATGAGCCTGTTGCCTTTCTCCAATAAATAATTTTTTCTTTCTTTGCTATGGTCTGTCGCTGAGCTAGAACCACTATTTCCTTGCAATGTTCCATCTTGGAAATGTGTCTGTTCTAGGCCATTTCAGGCTATAATTGCTTCTTCTTTCCCAGAATCTGTTCTGTGCATTGTCAGACTGCTGGACTACCTAGACCAGTATTTCTGGTCTCTGACTGGCAGCAGCTATCTGTTCTCAGGCAGTTTTTCCCAGGCTTGGCTGGCTCCTTTCCTATCCTAAGGATGAGACTCCAATTCTCATGCATGAAAAGCATGTTCTCTACCACTGAGCTGGGTTCCCTCCCCCAAAGCTAACATGAGATTCCAGTCCTCATGATTCTTCCCCTCAGCCTTTCTTGATCTAGTTTGCAGATCTGGCTAGTTCAACAGAGAGCAATGAAAAATGGTCACCAACTGTACACACAAATGTCTTGGAAGAAAAAGCAGTTAGCCTTGTCGGCAGCAAAACCAGGAATCAAAAACTTGTTGGCCACAAGGTGCTTTTCTTAAGAACAGCAAGGTTCTGTGGCACTGGAACAGTGAATTTCGAGACACAACCACGGGAATACCAGCTCATTGCCCACTAGGAAAACTTTGCAAAGACAATGCCTTCAACACATGTGTTGCAATGTGCTAGCCCCTGGTGTCTTGTTAGCAAGTAAGGAGGTAGTCTCAATAGAGGCAATCTAGTTTGCTTGCCAAAAGAATATACTGCATGCCAGGAATGGAAGTTAAGAACGGAGGGCAGCGTAATCCAAGAAAGCCATTTTCAACGAGTGACTTTGATTTCTCTTTCCAACCCAAGGGGTTGGGAGTCCTCTGAATATATCACACAGACTTAAGGGAGAGGAAAGGAAAAGTGCAGCAGCAAGGATGGGTACACAGGTGGCAAAAAACTACACACCGATGCCTAGCGATCTTCAACAACCTTCTCAGTTCAGTTCAAAAGTGGAAGGGAACAAAAATCAAATATTGGTTCACCAACTAGTGATGATCCATCTGATCCACTGGATAACCATTTTCTAGCCTGTGACTAAGTCATTCTTTTTAGAATATTTATGCCAATGACAATCCAATAGAATTCCAGCTAGGAGGACAAAATTCACCATGAAACTAGATACACTTAATGCATCATGAGAATCGGCTTGGGCTTGAATGGGGGCTTCACCTTTCAAAGAGTTGTGCCTTAGAAAGGAGCTCAGGAGCTCATTTGATCCTCAGAAGAGCCGTCACCACCAGCAGACTTTATACTCTGGCTAGTAGGAAAAGGGGTGCTAAAAAGACCCCAGCCATAAGGAGGGTTCTGTGGCCATGTTGGTGTTGTGACACTTGGGCTTCCTTCGCCTTTGCCAAGCTCAAACTTAAGCTTCTTTTGAAAACTTCTCTGCTGGCCAGCAAGATCAAAAAAGCAACTGAGGAAAGTTTGGGGCCTGACTGTGCAGAAGTTGCCTGACGCATCGTGTGACGTGTCAGTGAAAAGTCAAGGCACCATGGCAGAACCAAGAGTGCATCGATTCGCTATCAAGATTCACTCTCTGCTTTTCGTTGGCGCTCCTCCGTATGTTTAAGGAAGGCGCTCGTTGTGCCTCAGGATGCACTCGTCATGCAAAAGGCCCCATTTCGTTGCTGCGCGAGTTTATAAATTGAATGTGGCTCAGCCAAACACAGGAGAGAAGTTGGCTTGGAGCACAAGTGTGTCGTCGGCCTTGACAATCTTCCGTCTTTACAGCAGTGCCTTGGGCAAGACACTTCCGTGAACCTTTTCCTCGAGTAGACCTACTGTAGCTATTCTCTTCTGCCCTTGGGTCAGGTCTGTACAACTGCCCAGAGGGAAGCAGAAGGCAAGTGGGAAATGCTTCCCCGGGAGGTGGTTGAGGCCCCATCGGTGCGGGTGTTTGAGGATAGGCTAGACCTGCCCATGGCGGGCAGGTCATGAGTGGAGCCTGCTGGAGCCAGGGTCAGACTAGATGGCCCGGGAGACCCCTTCTGACTCGCTCTGTTTCTATGTTAACACAGCATTGGGAGAGAAAGGCTAGTGGCTTCTGGGTGGAGGGAGGTATTTCTGTCACTCTATACGACTCTGGTGCGCCCAGAGCTGGAGTCTTGTGTTCAGTTTGGGACCCTCATTACAAGAGGGATATAGCAAGGTTGGAATCGGTGCAGCGTGGTGGCCGGTTTGCAGGGGAAGCCGTATGAGGCGAGACTGAGGGAACTGGGTCTCTTCAGCCTGGAGAAGAGGAGACTCGGAGGGGATCTGTTGGCGACATGCAGGTGTGTGAGGG